CAGCTAGAGAACTGGAACTTCCTGAGCATAACCGACAGTGGCCTTTGGCCAGATGGACGTAAAAACGTCTCTCACGTCCCTTTCATGTCTCACGTACGTCTCACGCACACGCATGTGAAATTTGACGTAACTTTGCAACCTGGGCGGCTGGAGGGCTGAAACTTTCTGAGCGTCGTTCTGGACTGTGTTGGAGCAAGCACACGCAAAGGCTGCGCTCGTGATGCCACTCACGTGCAAACACGTGAAATTTGACATAACTTCGCAATCAGAGCAACCGAGGTGCTGAAATTTTCTGGGCATGGCCCAAGACCATGTTTTAACAAACGTACGCGTCAGCAGCATTGACGTTCCCACCCACTTACGGACACGTGAAATTTGAGTAAGTCTGTAACCGATGCATCTAAAGTGCTGAATTTTTTGTGCATAAACTGGGAGTCATAATAATTTCCAACAGTCGTGATGGCCACTCTCAGTTCTCTTAGTTGGAAGCATCTACTGAAAAAATCGGTACCATTAGGAACAGAAACCTGCGGGGGGGAGGGGGGAAGGCTGTGCAAAAAACGCATCCTCGCACCGCAGTCGGTGCGCTATTAAGTAGTTCCTTGACGTGTTTCTCTGGTAAATGATATTGGATATCATTGAGTTTACCCCATCCAACTTGCTTCCGAAAGCGGTCCTTGGACCAGGGCACTGTTCATCAAGGGGTTGTTGCTGGCAAAAGCTATGTCGTCAGAACTTCTTTTAATTGGTTTAATTTCTGATTGCTTTCATTTCCCGTAGAGTATGATGCTCAGAGAAAGTATCGACTTTACATTTTCAGTTCTTATTCATTGCAAATTAAACGTATTCCTGAATATTTACCATAGTCACAAACGAAAGTATAGTCCATTGAGCGCTTCATCACACACTAGCGTAGCAGCTGCTTGCCAGCACACTCAGAGGATCTCCAAAAGACGCTACCCATTCCTGTGATAAAAGATGACGAGTATTGGTAAGGGTAAGTGATGCGGAAACGATAGTCCACTAGAATGCAATTCCTAAGCTACAGTGCAGTAACATAGAGAGCCAAAAGAAAGGTTATATTAATTTTTCCTCTGTATTTGTTTATTATGCGTTTTTGCAGCTGTGCAATGCAGAAAACGCATATTGACGAGAGGT